CTTACTGACATAAATGAACATTTGCACAATATTCTAATTTTTCGAGTTTCACCTGTATATTAGATTATTTGATACCTCAAAAACAATCTAAATTATAGAAGAGAAAATGGCTTTGTTATTATTCTCTCTCTCTTTCCCCCTCTATCTATCTCTAACTCCATTAACCCTACGCTAAAGAAAAAATGATATCAGCCACAAGGGCCCCCATATAGTTTTGTCCAAAGAGTTCAAAAGACGCTCAGCAGAATTCTGTATGAAGACGAGATAAGAAAGAGGGGAAAATTCACATGATTGGTACACAGCTAAGGATAGGAACGATACAGCTTGTTGAAAGTAACAGAAACAATGGAAGAGGAGAAATGATTGTATGTCAAAGTTATTCATACTTGCGCATACATCCAAGGGAATGAACACGGTGAGATTATCTGGAAGAATGGAATAAAAGCAGTACTATTTTGTCTTCAACAAAGGAAAATATAAGAATAATGCTTTCCAGAAACTGCAGATTTTTTAAAAAGATGTGTAAGTGATAGGAAACTCTAGATCATGCTTTTTGACATTAATATCTAGGAAGATTATAAAATGATTATTCTTGGAAACTGGGTGGTATATACCAGAATCCAACATGGATTTGTTAGGAACAAGCCCTGTAAATGTTAACTTATTTTATTTTTTTAGTAGATTGTGGGGAACTGGTGTGTCTGTATCTCTCTCTCTGTGCATGTGGTGTATGTGTATGTATTAATTTAGCAAAGCATTTGGCAGAATTTCCCATAATACTAATATTTTGATTAGGAAGTTTGCTAAGGACTGGATGGTGTATATTTTAGGTAACTTGAAAACATTATTTAGAACATGCTTGTCAGCAGTTCCTGATCAAACTGGAGTGAGTGATCAAATGGGGTTCTGATTTTTGTCCTGGACCAGGTTCTTTTAAATATTTGTAAAGACTTGTACAATAATATGGAAGAAATTCTCATCTTCCATTCTACTCACTGTTCCAATCTATTGGTCAGATCGCAGCTCAAGTATTGGAAAACACATTTTAATGATTCAGACAAATTTGAACAGGTGTCGAAAGGGCAACAAGGATGATTATTGGAGTGATAGAGTACACGGGAGCCTTCCTCAAGTACCTAAAGCAGGTGTTATTCAAGAAGACTGTGACCTGTCCCAAATCCAGAATGTGAAAAAATGGTCTTAATTTACCAAAATATAATTCATTATTCTAACAGTAAGAGAAGTTTGACAGTTAAGAGAGTTGCTGGATTCCACTTTGCAGCATGTGTTCAGGTAGGGCTAGACAAATTTAATTAGGGATACTTTAATTTGCATGTTTGTACCGAGCAAAGATTTGACCATGATAAGGCCAAGTGGTACGTGCCTCCTATTGGTGCTTACAGTTTCATGGCTGCATGACTCAATAGTTGTGGAATTGTTAGGATGGAGAAGACAAAAGAAGCAGGGGCTTTATCGTGGTTTTAAAAAGAAATCTTAAGGAAACTTTTAGTTTCTTGATACAGTAATTCTTAGATCTGTTTTTTAAAAAGACAATCTGCTAAAGAAGAGGGAAAATAAAATAAAGTTAGTTATGATATTCTGATTTTTTAAATTTGTTGGGAAGTGTTATTTCAGAATTAGGCTTTTTTTTCCCCACCAGGATTTTCATTTCCCTTGTTTAATAAGTCTCTTACCACCTGCTGAGTAGTTCAGTGATGCCTTGGCATCTGGCAGCCAGTGTCATTTTCTGGCATCTTTTTGGAAGCAACTCCATTTAAGTGAATGACTGGACTTTTTATCGGTGGATAAAATACATGAACAATATGGCTTGTACTCTGCTACGCTCTCTTCATGCTCCTAATAGTTCCTCAAAATGCCAGTATAGCTGCTTCCAAAACAAAATTCCTAAATTGAAGTGTGAAATTTCAGTAATAGGAAATTGTGTGCATCTGACTCTGGCTATGTTTTACCGAAAACATATTTTGATTTGGCACCAGAATCATAAAATGTCTTTTCTTAATATCTCTGTTGTATTTGTTAATCTAAATAACTTGCTATATGTTTGTTGCATTGAAAATGTACTGAACAGCGCTGTGATATTGGAGATGCATCCAGAGGAAGTCTCTCTTCGTATGCTTATATCCTCATGGTATTATACTTCTTACAACAGAGAGAACCACCAGTAATCCCAGTACTGCAAGAGGTTGGTTTTCAATGTTGGAAAACAGTTTTGAGATTTCTGTCTCTTCTCAGTTTAATTTGCTCATGAGATTAGTGTTGGTTAAGGTTCTTTCTGAAGAATTGTTGAATCAAGACTGCATCTTTTCCTAGCCATTCCACAAGTTCTCCTTGTCACATAAATCTCTTTTAATTGCTATTATATTTAGATCAATATTCATGATGATTACACAATCATATTGATGTTACACATGTAGCAGAATATTAATTTCAACAAAGGGATAGGTTGTATATAGTTTTCCTCATAACATGTAACGCTGCCTTCTCAACAAAAGTATGAGCATTATCTACACTAGGAGTAGGCAACCACTGTCTAGATATTTTGGACTTCAGTTTGCATAATCCCTAGTCAGCATGGCTAATAATTAGGTATTGTAGAATTGTAGTTCAAGACATCTGGAAGTGACTTGGTTGCCTACAACTAAAAGCAGAGAAATTATGTTTTTATTATTATTGCTATAGTGGTAAGCATTTGATTTTAACTTGATTTCTGAAATCAGATGAAGTTATCTGCTTGATAACCCTTTTTTACTCTGTACCTTTATTAGCAAAAATATGCTCCATTTCCCTTACTGCTAAGTAACACAATCATATCACCTTCCCCCCATCCTTCTGGCACATATATCTGGCATTCTGGATCAGAGGGTATGCTTTTCTTGAAAGTTTGAGCAGAGGATCTTTTATTATTCATAGTTTTAGAAAGAATCAGATAAGTAATACATGTTAAAAAAGATTTTGTATTTGGAATGCGTTCAGTTTTCCTAATTTTCTGCTGTTATTCTTCATGGTGTTGTAGATATTTGATGGGCAGCAGATCCCTCAAAGAATGGTTGATGGTTGGAATGCTTTCTTCTTCGATGATACTGATGAGCTGGTAAAGTTCCCATTCTGGAATAATCAATTAGTTATTAGGTCTGCTTTAATTACACCATGTATAGTCTTAATAAGTATATGAAAGTGCCAGCAACATGTTCACCATTCTGGAAACTAAAAAAGAAACTTTCTCCCCAGTCTTTGGTTGTTGGACAAAGGAGCTGAGGTAATATGGGAAGAGTTAGAATTGGACTGGCAGTAAGAATCATTGCTCTTTTTGTACTGAAGATTAATATGGTGTAACTTACATGCTTCTTCATTTATATTTTCTCTTTTCAAAGGAAAATGCTGTGCTTTGTTTTTTGAATGTAGATATAGCAACCTAGGGCTACCACAGAAGAGATATCCTAATCAGCCAATGGTGCGAAAAGAAAATAGGATGTTGTGTGTCACATTTTAGGCAGAGATTCCCTTTTCAATACAAATGCATATTTCAGCCAAGAAATGTTTTGTCTCTACCTTAAGATCATTAGGAAAGGAGAGGGATTGCTTACCTTGAGCTTGCATAAGTAGAGAATTTTGTACACAGAGAGAAATACTTTTAATTACTTTTTCCTCCTATCCTGTTAACAGATAATCATAAAGGACAGCAGTAAATATTTTGCACTCTGCTACTTTATAAGCTTTCTGTTTAAAACCATTATATTTATTTTAAGAAAAAGTTGCTCTCTTATACTTTTACTGCTATAACTTTTGTACAGAAAAAACGTTTACCTTCTCTTGGGAAAAACACGGAGTCACTGGGAGAACTCTGGTTAGGGTTACTGAGATTTTACACTGAAGAGTTTGACTTCAAAGAATATGTCATCAGCATTCGTCAGAAGAAGCTGTTAACCACATTTGAGAAACAGTGGACATCCAAATGCATTGCTATTGAAGGTAGTTACTGAATATTTCTTATTTAATAAATTAATTTGTTCTTCTGAAGAGTCTTCCTCATTTATATTAACATACTTGAAAACTGTCTATCCTGCACCTATAGTTTTTATGAAGAAATATGTACATTACTGTCTTTTTTAAAAAATCCTCTTTTAATGTTGTTTGTTATTACCATCGCTCAGATCCCTTTGACCTGAATCATAATCTTGGTGCAGGAGTTTCCAGGAAAAGTAAGTACAGAAGAAGTACTATTCAACGTGAATGAATTTCAAAATCAATATAGTTTTTTAAAAAAAAAAATTCTTTTTTTTAATCCAAAGTGACCAATTTCATAATGAAAGCATTAATCAACGGGAGAAAGTTATTTGGTACCCCTTTCTATCCAATATCAGGAAGAGAAGCTGTAAGTTCTCCTTTCTTCTGCTATTATTACAAATGAGCAAGTATCTTTATTGTAGTGCTATAGGATATTTCAAATACATTAAATTTTAGTTTGCACTACATTTAATTGGTTGGATGATATATGTGTTCTGCTGATAGAGCACGTTCTACTGGATAGAATCATGCTTTTTTCAGCACTCTGTTTTTCAAAGTGTTTTATTTCCTCATTCATGAAATCACTAAAATAACATGATAGTTCTGCAAGTCTTAAAATCTTCTCTTAAATGGATCTTTGCTTTGCAGAAGCTATATATAAACTGAATACTATGTAGAAGTGCATGCTGTCCTGGAAATGCAAGCCTGTAAAAGTTTGATATAGGTATATATAGATAAACACACACACTTGGAAAAAAACTTAAATATGCACCCACAAGCTTTTTGCTGATGTTTCAAATAACTGCTTGGAACACCTTTCTCCTTAGTAAATGACTTCATTAGTAAGAAATGCAAGTATTATTATCTGTGTTCTATTATTGGAAAATGGATACAGAATGCTTTTAGATAAACATATTTTCTCAACTCTTTCAGGAATACTTTTTCAATTCCAAAGTATTAACTGATGGAGAACTGGCCCCAAATGACAGATGTTGTCGTGTCTGTGGCAAAATTGGTCACTACATGAAAGACTGCCCTAAAAGAAGAAGGTTAATAAAAACCATATCTTTCTCTCTTCTTGCTCTCTTTTTCATAAGCTTGAAACCTTCAAAACATTTATTCCATCTTTTTCTTTGCACTTACACCCTCTCACTGACATTCTTGCTGTCTTTTTAAACACTTCGTCGTACTTTTCAAGGATATTTTAAAGCATATCTTTCATATTTTTTCTCCTTAAGGGTAAAGAAAAAAGAGAATGAGAGAGATGATGAAAAGGAAGTAAAGGAGGAAGAAAGAGATACCAGAGAAAAGAGATGCTTTATGTGTGGTGACATGGGACATGTTAGAAGAGATTGTCCTGAATTCAAGCAGACAAGACAAAGAAGCAACGGCATACCAGGTAAAATAGACTCTACAATTTCAATTTTTGCATCTTGTATTTCCAGTTCTGTTTTTTTTTACTTTTTCACCTATTATTTTTCTCTCTTTTTTATTTTTCTTTTCTGCACTTTTAACTTTCTTTTTTTCTGAACTTTTCTGTTTTTTCTGTTTCTTTATATTTTACTGTTTATTGAAAATTAATGAAGTTTCTTTAAAAAAAAAGAATGAAGCAGAGCCAGGATGTAAAAAAGGAGGAATTAGGAGTATTGCAAGAGCCTTGTTTTGCAGTAATTCTCCCTAATGTTTAGAAAGCAACTACTTGTGATTTGTGTCTAGCATAAAGCACTGTTGCTGAAGAGCCATGAATAAAATTCTGGTTGTAAATGTGTCTTTTCTTTGCATGTATATTATGTATTTGGACGTTGTTTGGTTGCTTAATTTATATTAAACATACACATTCTTTATATTTTATCATTTAGCTTCTCAATTAGTCAGAAGCCTGGTAAATTCACAGCAAGTCACTGGATCAATTCAACAGCAGGTAGAAAGACCCTTGCATACCAGACAACCATCAGAATGTGTAAGTTGTATTTTCAGTGTTTTTATGAGTATGTTTTGTATAAGTAGCAAGCATTGACAGTGTAAAAAACTATAGCAACAGTACTTATGATTCTTACAATGAAACACCTTGTGTACATGTCAGTAGTTTATGCTTTCCCATATTTATAAAGTTCTTATTTAAGCTAAATAAAGATCTGTACTGAAAAATCACAGATTAAGGCATTTTTTCAGTAATTGAAAGAGTTGAATTAATAAAGTAATATGCTACTGCAGCATGAAAATTAATAGGTCATGTTTATAGTTATATGTTTTACTTTAGCTGCTTGTTTAAAAGAGGGCATGATTTATGAAGTGCATAGAATAAATCTTCTGTTAGTGGAAGCCTTATTTTCAAAGTTCAAACCAGTGAAACAATTTAGTTCATTTTGTTGAGTTGAAACATAGTAAAGATGGGGCTATAAAAGTTCCTTTGTGATAACTTTTTATCTATCAGGAGCTCAGTGGATCACTTAACTGGTAAACTAATCCAAACCCAATCCTTTTTTTTCCCCTCTCCAGTCCGATTCGCATCAGTCATCTTACTCTCCACAGCCTCAGCAATTTCCCCAGAATTCCTCTCCACCAGCCTCCATTAACCAGACTCAGCCTCAATCAATATCCCAGTCTAAGCATACTCTGCCGCCCCAACAAGGGGCACAGCCACCTCACCAGGTCCAGCTGCCTTTGTTTAACTTTGCCCAATCTCCCCCAGGTCAGTATTCCACCTTGCCTAATCTGGGGCTATTTCAAATGCCCCACCACCACCAAATTCCATTTCCTAACACTTCCTGGCCTGTTATTCACTCTGCACCGGGTAATCCTCCTCACGCAACAAACGTTCCATTTTCGGTGAGGGCTGGCAGCAGCAACCCACCCAATAATCAGAGCACCATAAGCTTGAATGATCCTAGTATCATCTTTGCACAGCCTGCTGCCAGGCCTGTGGGAATCCCCAGCAGTTCTCACGAGGGACCCTGGCACAACCCTGTGACTCTAAGCTCACTGGTGAACAATGGCACAGTGGGGAATTCAGGTAACTTTCCTCTATTGTCACTTGCTTTGTAAAAACACTGATGTTTTCTTTGCTAACCGTTTCTGAGCTTGTTCATCTGATTCTGGCATTTGGCTGCCTATAAGAAAACCTTTTAAGGAAGATCAATTGCCTCATATTTCTGAGGCCAAGATATTAACATAGCTGAAAAGTTTTAAAAAAAAAAAGTTTGTTTGAACACTTGCATTATAGACCTAGACATGATATTGAAAGAGAAGACTGGCCTTCTAGCAAGAAACTGCTAGCAAATATGAAGTGGATTAGAGAATCAAAACCTCAGATCTGGGCACAAGCAGAAAGAATTTTGCCTCATTTTCTTTTCCAATTGTAGTTTCTCATGTTGCACTTAATACTACTCTAAAATAGTATCAAAAGTAGCTTTAGATGGGATGGGAGCACTATATGCGGTAGAAGAAAGGTGGGCTTATTATGAGCACATCTCTCTGTTTAGCCCCTTGACTCCATCCAATTCATTTAAAAATCCTGCATAATATTTTCTTAAAACACTGGTGTGCTTAGATTGAAAAATAAATAAAAGTGCCTCTCAGAATGAGGTGGCTTTCTTCCTCACTAAATAGCAAGAGTCAAATTATACATCAAATAAGAGACTTTGATAAATCAGTTTATAGACAAGCATGAATTTTATAACTTTTTTCTTAGATATTACCAATTCTATGTTCAAGTAACATATGTTATTATAGTTTATGGCTGATCAGAAATGTGTCTTCCTCTCCAATGGCTCACCAGTGTTTACTGCTGGTGTGTTTTATAGCTCTGTTGTCATCTGACAGTGATTCCCCATCTCCACTAGAAGAACAAGTCTAGAAGGCTCCGTGGCTTACTTTAGGTTTGTTTTTCTTCTTAGAAGTTGCTGTCAGCCAATCCAACAAGAAAACGCTCTAAGCAAGTCTTTGATAGATCAGAGATGCCCAAACAGATGTGTTCATGGCTACCTATAAACTATAGTGTATTGTCAGAATATGACTTTAGTAATAACTGATGAGATTGTATCAGAGTGTTTAATATTGCTTTTTAATGACTCAGTTCGACTTGATTTTTCATTTATTTTTAAGCAAAAAGATTACTTTGACTCCAAAAAAGTGCTGTTTGACTTACGAAAGGATTTTAACTTGCAGGATTGCTTTGCACTTTGCCTAGGGTATTGTTGAAGAAACTAAATGTATGAGAGCGGCTATGGAATCTACCTGTTTTGTATGCATATGTAAGATGCTATAAATCAGCAACAGTGGCTTCAGTTTTGTCGAAGGCTTTCACGGCCGGCATACGATGGCTGGTGTGGGTCTTCCGGGCTGTGTGGCCGTGGTCTTGAAGTTTTGTTTCCTAAC